TTTTTATACATCTTCACAAACTATACATTCACAGTTCACAAGAATAGATAGACAGACAGACAGACAGACAGAAGGATGGACAGACAGGTGGATGGACAGACGTACAGATAGATAGATAGATAGATAGATAGATAGATAGATTGATTGATTTTTGGGTTGTAAATCCTTGAAAATATCCGCTTCAGCTGCAGTGAAGATCCATCAAAATGTCTCACTTTGTGGTTTGCAGAAAAAATAACAGCCTTTGGGTTAACAACATGAGGGAGTAAATAATGAAATTTAAATTTTTAGTTAAACTCTACTAATTCACTTGTGTTCTGCATCACTCTACTTCATTCAGCACACACATTCACCAAGACTTTCATTCTCTGGCTGTCCTTGTCGCCCTCTCTTAATATCTTGCAATCATAATCTGTACTGCACTGCTGTTAGGAATCTGTTTGTATCCAATTCATCATTCTCTCATAATAATCAGGCTATAAAAATGCAAGATATACACACACAACCCTCACAGCTAAGCCTGAGAAAAGAGAGAAAATGTGTTGTGTGCATATGCATGTATGATGATGAGCTCATGTGTTGATCTCTCAGGGCCAGACTGTGTTCCCGCTCTATAACGCTGGAGAGTGTGTGGCCAGCAACTGCCGTGCGTGTCCGTGTACGTACCGAACTCTCCTCTCTCTCAGAACCTTCATCAGCAGTAACTCTCTGGGATCTGCTGGCTTCTGGCTCCTGGGTCCTGGGGCCACACTGGGAGGGGCCTATGGCCCTACAAACACACGTCTGCGCTGCCATCTGGGTAAGTCACAACACTGAAAGCACAGAAAACTGTTCTACACAGAATACCATTTGTAAGTTTGGGGTCATTAAGATATTTGAATGATTTTGAAAGAAATCTCTTTTGAGCAACACGACTGGTGTCACATGATCCTTCAGAAATCATTCTAATATGCTGACTTGCTGCCCAAGAAACATTTCTTATCGTTGAAAAGTGTTGTGCTGCTTAACATTATTGTGGAGACATTTTTTCTGGATTCTTTGATGAATAGAAAATTAAAAACAATAGCATTTACTTGAAATATACTTTTTTTTTTAAACAATGTAAAAGTTTTTACTGTCACTTTTAATCCATTTAATGCATCCTTATATATAAATGTACTGACCCCAAAATACTTTTAATGAAAGCTGCCAAATTATTTGAGGTAATGTAAGGGAAAATACTGTACACAATTTTACACATGCAAATGCAAATGTTCGCATACATTTGGGGGAAAAATAATCCAACATTATGTGATTTTTGTCATTTTGATGTGAGTGTGTTTCTGTGTGTCAGGTCTTCAAACGCCTGCTCAGTGTGAGCTTGTGGTGGGTGGGGAGCCTCAGTGTTGGTCAGAGGGACACTGCCTCCTTGTGGATGACTCCTTCCTGCATACCATCTCACACAATGGTCAGAGAATTACATCTTACAAACCTCATTAATCATAATATGCTGAATGACTGAGGCTACAGTAACCGAGAAGAGCTGTTACAGATCAATAATCAGCTCACCAAACTACAACAATAAAGATAACAGGCAATCTGATTCTGAAGATGAAAAATAGAGGAAATGTTTACTTAAATGGAGTTCTCAGTTATGCAAGTGTGCCACGCATTTATGTTTCTGAGGGGGCACCACTGCCAGTCCTGGCCCACTTTTTACCCTAGATGAAATAAGACATGAGAAAAAAGAAGAAAAAAAAACTTTTCTAATACCTTACATATGTGTAAGACAGGATTAGTTGAGTGTTACATGAACAAAAATTCTGATGGAGCACATAGATCATTTTGAACAAGTATGATGCTTCTTATTTGTGTCAACTGGGTCAGAGATGTTTATTTTAAAATCCTTTTAAATAAAATCAACACAAATTGTTATTGGCATATAGTAAGAGTCTACACTACTATTTAAAAACTTGGGGTCTGTAAAATGTTTTCATGTTTTTGAAAGAAGTCTCTAATGCTCACCAAGGCTGCATTTATTTGATCAAAACTACAGTAAAAACTAATATTGTGAAATAAAATGGCAATGTAAATTTAATATATTTTAATATGTAATTTATTCCTGTGATGGCAAAGCTGAATTTCAGCAGTCATTACTACTGTCTTCAGTGACACATGATCCTTCAAAATCATTTTAACATGCTGATTGGGTGCTATTATTATCAATGCTGTGCTGTTTTTGTAACATTATGAATGTATTTACTTTCACTTTTGATGAATATAATGCATCCTTGCTAAACAAAAGTACAAAAAAAATGTATTGACCCCTAAACTTACGTTAGTGTAGCATTAAAAAATTAATATGGATATTTTAGAATTACATGGGAAATGTCTGCATTCATATCAAGATCTTTATATTTCTATTGGATTTTGAGACATTGTTGAGACTGTGACAGTATAATCTTAAAAATAATGGTTCATTATATGGTTCCATGAAGAACCTTTAACATCCATGGAAACTTTCCATTCCACAAAAAGTTCTTCACACAAAGGAAAAAATCAGTTCTTTGGGGAACCCAAATGGTTCTTTTATGGAGTCACTGCAAAAACGTCTTTATTTTTAAGACTCTTCTGACACTCTGTAGGACACACATTACCCCAGTAGAAACTGAGACAAAGAAATCTATGCAGAGATCTCAATTATTTATTTATTAAAACTCTAGGAGAAACAATTGAGAGACTACAGAGGTCTTCTATGTAACCAACATCTTTACGTTTGTCCTCTAGGGGGAGCTGAAGATGGTCCCAGAGTTATCTTCAGTGTGGACCTGTGGCATCCTAACGTGGCTGCAGCAGAGAGACAGGCTCTAGACTACATCTTTGCCCCTGAGTAGTAATTCCAGCTGCATTTCCCAGGATGCACTAGTCAAACCCACTTCATGGCATATCAAAATGCAGAAAATGTTGTCTTAAAGTTTGCAAAACATCTTTTGGTTTAGTTACAAGTTCATACTGAGGATATTTATCATTTAACTACTACATACTTTTATGCCTGAAACCTTTGAAATGTTTCAAACAAATGACTTCAGTCAGAACTGCAGTTCAGCAAATTTATCATACAGATCAGATGACGTATCGACTATGTTGAGCCCCGAGCACACAGATACTGTGACGACACGCAAACCATTTTCCAACATCATATCTACATTTGACTTGTGCCTGTCTTGATAATCCCGCGCTCCTGTTCTATCATTTTTGTGCCTGATTTCTCCTCCTTACCTCTCTGATGTATACTGTGATACATGGTTCTCCGTAAATACTGTACACGTGACTCACTGTTATGCTCTATATTTTGTTTTATTTCATGGTGATTTATTTTCAGACCTGTGAAGCACACACCGAAGACAAAATACTGTATATGACCAGATTACTTGCATGCGTTCTGAATTTTGATTGTGTTGCCAACAATGCACTTGATGACTGTCCTGCAAATCAAGTATGTATTCAGCTGAGTTCAATTCAAAAATAAAAGATTTTGTTTAATTGAATCCCTCTAGTCGCTGATGGCATTGAAGGGGGAGGAAATATCAGTTTCCACTCACCTTCACACACTCACAGTGGGACAGATACACTCAGCACCCAAACAGACAGCTGGGGTTGGAGGGCTTCTCCATCAGCAATTCTATCTTCCTGCATTGAACCCTGTGAGAGCAGAACAGAAAATAAAAAGGATAGAATATCACAAAGGGGTTCAGGGGCCTGTATATGATCAAAAATGCATGAGAGACCGCGCAAGATGAAGAGACAGCTAGGACAGTGTGTTTAGAAATCTGTTTAGTACTGGCATAATACAGCGGAATTATAAAATGATGGCATAATTCTGAATGTGGAGCATATATATATATATATATATATATATATATATATAT